AATAAACATAATCTTTATTGAGGAAAATGGCCTATGACAAGAAAGGCTGAGTTACTTAAGTGTTTCTACACCTAAGAGCCTCTATTAGGCTCTCCACACGATGGAGAAAGAACGAGACAGGTAACTGCCTGAACTCCACAAGTCAGAGCCAGAAAAGAAAAGTAGAACTGAACTAACAGAGGAAGGAAGTGAATACCGACTTGAGAATATCAGTCTAAGCAATAGAAGACATGCTGCATAGAGGCATACAAGAGAAGTCTTTTAGAGAGGGAAAGAAGGCCACACACACACACACACAAACTCAGGACCTTTGACCACCTGGTGAGATCTGGGATCATTGTGTGGAGGACCAAATGGGTCCCAGCAGTTGAAAAAGGTTGGAGCCCTCAGCTGGCTGAATGGCTGCTCTCTTCTCCTTCACTTTGACTTTTCAGGACCAAGAGTCTGCGTAGGGGAAAACCTGGCCCGGGTGGAGCTCTTCCTCTTCTTCACCAGCATTCTCAGAAACTTCCAGTTGTCGTGGCCAGATAAATCACAAGCACCAGATTTTACACCACGCTTAGGGATTACACAATCCCCATCTCGTTTTAAGGTATTGCTGAAATGTCGCCAGCCAAGTGAATAGGTCTAGGTGAGGATCTGCAAGACAACCTCATTCTCTCCAAGTGTCTATGCAGCAGCCATCTCTACTTCAAATTCACCACTTAAGACCTTTTTAAAATGTATAAATAAAGTGCTGTCTTATGCCAAATCATCCTGTGTACTGTATGATCAGTCTTGTTTATGATGATGATGATGAAATTCACTTTTCCAGATCTCTGCTCTCTTTCTTCAAGGTTACTGGAAGGAAGAATGGAGAAGAGCAGAGTGCACAGCTGGTTTATGAAATGACTCTTCCTGGCACGAAAATCTGGGGCCCTTCCAGAACAGGGGAGACGTGCAGGGGAGGCAACAAAGGGCCTCCTGGATTCTGGGAGGCCCACCTGCCTTGCTGTTTGCCAGTCAACCCAACAAGCAAGGCTAGGTCAAGAAACAGACACCACCGGGATCCCAGGAATGCTATTTGATTTTGGAGGCTCTATTTAGAGAATCTGGAAAGCCTCTCCAGATTCATGGCTCCTTTTGAAGGACAACAAAGTCAGAGC